TTTTCATTTATTGAGTATCCCTATATCGCTCTCTTTGACTTGTGTTTGGCTTTTGTGACGAGTCCCCAAATTATGCAGAACCACTGATGGGTTTATGAATTTTTCCTTCTGGCGTCGAAAACTAATCTTCCCTCTCCTGGCTTTCTCTACACAGGGAATAAGATCGATTTGGCAGACAAACGAGAAGTCTCCCAACAACGAGCAGAAGAGTTTTCCGAAGCCCAAGACATGTACTATCTGGAGACCTCGGCAAAGGAATCCGATAATGTGGAAAAACTCTTTCTGGACTTGGCTTGCCGGCTGATCAGCGAGGCAAGGCAGAACACGCTTGTGAACAATGTGGAGTCGCCCTTACCGGGCGAAGGGAAAAACATCAGCTATTTGACTTGCTGTAATTTCAACTGATAATAAGTCCAGCCCCCAAGGGTGATGACTGTTTCTCCTTGCCATGTCCTCTCCTGAGAGAGGCCGTTCCTGCCGCCTTGACCCAGCCTGACTGGTGGATGTAGTCAGCTTCCCAATCTTGAAGCATGGCCAGCTGGCCGCTTCGCCTGCGGGGTCAGCGTAGAATATAACCTGGTTTATTTCCTTTATTAAAAAAAAACAAAAACATTTCCCTGTAACATGGAGGAGGTTAGGATTCAAGAAGGTGGGCTAGGTATCAACGGCAAGTAGACGTCAGGTTGTTTCTTCGCATCTTGGAAACAACTAGGAAAGTTTCTCCTGGGAACGGCGAATAACGCAAGGTCTCTCTTGCGCAAGGTGTTTCGGTTCTTTGAATAAGGACATCAAAATGCACATCAGCCATTTGGCGGTTGCCCTGGGTTGCTAGCTCAGCCAATACCTGTATATAGTCTATGGCCCCAAAGCATCGGTTCTTAGGGCACAACTCAACAAAGTATGTGTGCGTGTGTTTGTGTGAATGTGTGTATTCCATTTTTAAAAAAATTAAGTGTTAATGTCTCTCCCACGTTCAGGCACTTTCACTGAAATAGAAGTAAAAGTAACGCCAATACTATGAAACCAATGTTCTTTGGGTATAGCCGCTGAGCAAACAATTCCCCCAGGCTAAATTTTAGAGACTGTCCCTTGTTGGTCATTCTGTTCTGTACAGGAGCTAGAAAATGCTCTCAAATAATGTGCTGGTTGTAAGCAAGCAAACTTTTCTTCTGTTGGTACAAAGCAACTCCTAGAGTAGTTCTTTTAGACTGGATGCATTTTATGGGGATTTAAATGTTGGCTCCTAGAAAGGTTTATTGAAGAGGAGCATTATGAGTCCTCTTGTCAGCTTGACTTGGTCAAGTAAGTGTTCCACAAAGTGTAAAAATAATGTTTTTTGTACTGTTCCCTCACACAGTGGGTTTTCCCTTCCCAATAGACCATGCATACATGAGCCTTGATTGAATAATGTCCTTGATTATTTTGGGACTTGAGAAATAGCCTTTTCTTTGGAAAAGCTGGTACCTTAAATTTTGGACAGCATACTCTGCTGTTTACAGGAATATTACAATGCTAAGTCCTAAAAGATGACTGACATATACATGTGGCTAATGTCAGTAAAGATGGTTTGTGGAGTGTACTCCTTCAGGCTCTTATCTTCACCTTCCTTGCCAAAACCTGATCTCTGAAGGCCCTTGAAGGCCTAAAACTGTGTCGTCATCAACCAGAAGATGACTATGTGTCATGCTTTTAATTGAAACAGCAACACATAAGGCACTTGACTGGCAGCCATTTGGGGAGGGCGGGGAAGATTTCTCATTGTGAAGCAAGTGCACAATTTCATAGGGTTTTTTATAAGCTTAGGAATTTAAAAGAAAGCAGCGCATGTTCCAAATTTATTATCAAGTTTTAGCCAGGCTGCGATCATCTTGCAAAGCTACGGCTCCGAGTAGTGATTTCAAATCACGGCGTCCAAAGGCCTTCCCTATAACCTAGTCGCTTGCAGGCTCTTGCGATTGTAGCTCCTCTGATTTGTCTGCTCTCTTGGTCTCAAGTGTGTGTGCGTGCGGATGTATAATTGTTGGCTTGGGCAACTCCGTAGATCCGAAACCTCAACCTTGGAAGCATTATGGAATGTGTCCTGCCTTCATGTCCATCATGACGACACCTGTAGTGCCATGTTCAAAGAATGCGTCGGATTTTACTTTTCAAACGAACTGACACAGCCAACTCTTTCGATGTTGACTCAATTACCCTAAAAGGGAGGGTGAACTGTCTGGGTCAGTATGGACCCGTAAGAGATTGTAATTTTAGTATTAATTTGCTGGTTATTCTGTACTTAGTATTAATTAGTTTGACATTTGCAGAAGAGAGCGGACATGGTAAGCTGGGAAAAGGATGAATGCTGTGCCAGAGGGCACCTGAGTCATTCCCCAGTGAAAGCAGGAAAGAACCTCTGTAAGGACACATCTGCGTCTCCTCTATTTCAAGAGGGCTTGCACTGGGGAAGGTTCTGGGGGTTGGTGTCGATCACTCAGAGGTGGTCTCTTTTGCATTAAAAAGCTGCTAAAGATTTAGCCTTTTTAAGAATAAAGCTGACATTTTCAAAAAGTGTGATTGTTTTCCCCCTGCACAAGGTTTTCTTGATTTCAGAAGTACAACTGAAAATCAGAGTTTGCATGTAGGAAAAAAAGATTTCCTATAGATCCTAGGGAATCATTGGGGTCCATAAGGAGTCCTCGGTGGTACAGTGCATTAAACCTCTGAGCTGCCGAATTTGCTGACAAAAAGGTCAGCGGTTTAAATCCAGGAAGCCGGGTGAGCTCCTGCCGATAGCCCTAGTTTCTGCCAATCTAGCAGTTTGGAAACATGCAGATGTGAGTAGATCAATAGGTACTGCTACTGTGGGAAGGTAATGGTGCTCCATGAAGTCATGCCAGCCACATGATCTAGGAAATGTCTACAGACAACGTCAGCTCTTTGGTTTAGAAATGGAGATGAGCACTACGCCCAAATCGGACACGACTAGACTTGATGTCATTAATTTTGCCATTAGGGAGTCGTAGTTGCTGGGATTTATCATTAACCTACAATCAAACAAAAAGCAAGTTTGGTTCAATTCCAATGATCGAACTGAACCAAACTTGGCACACAGAACTGCCATGACACAGAAATACTGGAATGGTTTGGTGGGCATTGACCTTGAGTTTTGGAGTTGTAGTTCAATTACATCCAGAGAGCACTGTGGACTCAAACCATGATGGATCTGGCACGAAGAGTCAATATGCCCAAATGTAAACACTGGTGCAATTTGGAGAAAATAGACCTTGAAATTTCGGAGTTGTGGTTGCTGGAATTTATAGTTCACCTACAATCAAAGAGCCTTCTGAACCCCACCAATGATAGAATTCGGCCAAACTTTCTACACAGAATCCCCATGATCAACAGAAAATACTGTTTTCTGATGGTCTTTGTTGACCCCTTTGACACTCCCACACGACCCCCAGGTTGAGAAATGCTGTTCTAACCTGATGTAAAAGGCAAAAAGAACTAATGCTATAATTGGGACTTTCCTTGGGAGTGCAGAGACGGGGGTTATTGCAATGAATGCCAGCGCTTCCACATTTACAGCTATATCACTGCTTAGTACTCGCTGTACTCACTTAGTACTCACTGGGCGACTTGGAAGGCGCTGAACAGCCTGTGCTCTGGCACCACGAGATGCAGAACCAACCTAAAGAAATGGGGCTACAACGTGGAATCTATGACATGTGAATGTGGAGAAGAGCAAACTACAGACCATCTGCTGCAATGCAACCTGAGCCCTGCCACATGCACAATGGGGAACCTTCTTATAGCAACACCAGAGGCATTTCAAGTGGCCAGCTTCTGGTCAAAAGACGTTTAAAATAATGCCAAGTTTTAAAACTTTGTGTTTTTAATGCATTTTAACAGTACCTTCAACTTGCTTCTGATACAATAAATAAATTGCTTCACATGCCAACCTTCCTTGCAAACAATCCGGGCAGCTGCCAGCATATCATCGTTTCAGGAATCCTTTGGAAAGCTACAAGGAACCTCCTTTCATGCTCTCACATCACCAGACAAAATGGAAGCATGCCATGCCTTGAGTCAAGGCCATTTTAATGACTTGCTTCAGATAGCTCAATCAGCAATTCATTGTTCCATAAGCATGGGTTTCCTACCCTTGTGCTCCAGATGTTGCTTTCACTTCCCACAGCTGACACTAAAGCCTAACAAATCTCACTGATGGAACAGAGCAGCTACAAACAGTACTGCTTCTCATTCAGCCTTTCTATCCCTTGCCCTTTTTGTATGGAGAATAAACAATCGGAAGTGTAACGCAAGATCAGTGTGATGTTCTACAAACTATAGTCCAATAAATGGACATTCTGGTGAGGTAGAGATCATCTCTAATTATGTTAACACTTGTATTGAGAGGTATACTTAACAGAGTTAATGTGACATCCTTTTAAATATTTTAACATGGCGATCATGTCCACTCTTGGCCTTTTTTTTCTCCAAGCTAAGCTGTTCCTCATGGGCTCTGTTTCCAAACTGTTGATCATTTTAGTTACCCGCCTCTGGTTCAGCTTGTCCATCTCCTTCTAGAGTTACGGTGCCCAGAACTGGACAAAAGGTTATTCCAGGCAATGCCTGACCAAAGCAGTCTTGCACACCAGGGTTCTTAATTCACAAACTGGAGTCAACGTTTTATTCATATGCTAACAAACAGACATGTAATGCGCAATCAAGAAGAAACAATGCATTATTTAAAAGCACCAGAAAGGATAAATGACCAATTCATGTTTGTACTTTTTAAAACCAGCTTTTCCCCAATGATTGGGAACAGTGTTTTCTCGAAGGCTTTCATGTCTGGAATCACTGGGTTGTTGTAAGTTTTTCGGGCTGTATGGCCATGTTCCAGAAGCATTCCCTCCTGATGTTTCGCCTGCATCTATGGCAGGCATCTTCAGAGGTTGTGAGGTCTCACAACCTCCAAAGATGCCTGCCATAGATGCAGGCAAAACATCAGGAGAGAATGTTTCTGGAACATGTCCATACAGCCCAAAAAACGTGCAACAGCCCATTGGGAACAGTGGTTGCAAGTGGTTGTAACCAAAAGGTCGTTTTAGAAAAAGGCAAAATGACACTCAAGAGGATAGTTTTGGGGAAACAGTATCTGAGAACAATTCAGGAGACCAACTTGAAACTTTAGCTGAGGAGTGAGGTGTGGAAGACAAGTCTGACCTGACACCTGAAAAGACAGGGAAGCCAGGAGATCCATTTATGACCTCCCTGCCATCAGCCTCGTCTTTGCCCATGGGCTGCCTCCTGAATCTAATCTCTGCCCGCCTTTTGGAAGACAATTCTCTCCTTAACAACCTGATGGAACTCATTGGGATCCCACACCTTTCAGAAAAAGGAGAATTTTCTATGAGTTGAAAGTCAGCATTGTTCCTCTCCAGGTTCTTCCTCAATGCTTTCCCATTCTCGATCCCAAAAAGCTGAATCTGTTTTATCTCTGAGGGAGGAATCCATTCTTCACCGTCATCTTCAGGCATATCCCGGATTGGGCTACTTTGGGTAAATAACTGCTGACCCTCAGTTGTATTACTTGATTGTGTGCATCGCAGGAACGTGCTGACCAGACGCTTCAATGAAGGGTTTCCCAAGGTGGGTCGCAGTCTTTTACATTTGGCTCCAACCCAAGACAATTTATTCAACGGCAATTCGCTAAGTATGGATTCTTTTCCCTGAAGGACCCTTCCTTGCAGACAGGGCCTGGCAAGGGGAGTGGACTGGGAGTTAGGAATAAAATCCAGCGACCCCACAAGGCTACGTTCTGGCCCATATAGTAAGTCAGGTAATGGACTGTTTGGTTTAGGATCAGGCATACTGAACAAAGATGTATTCCAGCTGTCATTTAGCTCATGCAGAGAACCTCTAAAACTGTGTTCAGATGTAAATTCAGATGTTATACATTGTTTAGCCACTGGGTTTTCCTGTGCCAGGAAGATGTGTGTCGAATTTAATTTTCGGACAGTATCTTCTGGCGCTTGAGCACTATCAAAGAGATCAGCCGAAGCATTGTAACTAACCTCAAGGACATTAGAGCAGTCCTGCAGCATGTTGCCAACATCAGCTTTAAAAGTATACCTGTCGTCTTGAAAAAGTAGCTTTTCCTTTGTTATATCATGGCCGATAGTTTTTTCACAGGTTACCAAAGTCAAACTGTCTTCTTGAATATTTGTGATATCAAGAGTGTGGTTTTCATTCCAAGGACTTTGTTTATCCTTCCACTTGAATAGATTGCCATCTTGGTTCCCATTCAGATAAGCTATGTCTCTAATCAGTAGACTAGAATTTTTTAGGCATTTGCTGGAAGGCTTTGAAGAAGACCTGGAATGGTGATTCTCGGAACTACGGACATTTTGCTCAAGTTCAGATTTCAGGCAACTTTCTTTTGTATGAGATTTCACTTCTGTTGAGCAATATGAAGGTAAGAGGACCAGAGGCTGGTGAGGCAGGTGCCCTGATTCTTCCCTTCCTTTGCAGGATAAAGAACCTTGAAAGGCTTGCTGGAGAGATTCCTGGCTGTTGTGAGATGGCGACAGGTTAACCCGGTGAAGGCCGCTTTTACGATGAGCTTGCTGGAGAGATCCCTGGCTGATGTGAGATGGCGAAAGGTTAACCTGGTGAAGGCCGCTTTTACGATGGGCTTGCTGGAGAGATTCCTGGCTGTTGTGAGATGGCGACAGGTTAACCTGGTGAAGGCCACTCTTGCGATGGGCTTGCTGGAGAGATCCCTGGCTGTTGTGAGATGGCAACAGGTTAACCTGGTGAAGGCCGCTTTTACGATGGGCTTGCTGGAGAGATCCCTGGCTGATGTGAGATGGCAACAGGTTAACCCTGTGAAGGCCGCTTTTACGATGGGCTTGCTGGAGAGATTCCTGGCTGTTGTGAGATGGTGACAGGTTAACCTGCTGAAGGGCGCTTTTGCGATGGGCTTGCTGGAGAGATTCCTGGCTGTTGTGAGATGGCGACAGGTTAACTTGGTGAAGGCCACTTTTGCGATGGGCTCGCTGGAGAGATCCCTGGCTGTTGTGAAATGGTGACAGGTTAACCTGGTGAAGGCCACTTTTGCGATGTTCTACCATCTCTGCCAGGACCTGTGATTTCTCACCTGGCTGCTCAGTCTTCAAATTGGCATGACACATGTTTAGCTGGGGAGACAACTGGTCAAAACACCCATGGAATTCATCAGCACTATCACTCGTGAAATGTGTTGGCGACACCACAGTGTTGTCACGTTCCAGTTTGGCAATGAATTCATTTAAGCTTTCGGAGGACGGCATTTCACCCCAAAGCTCAGGATCCTCTTGAGAGTCGGTATCTTCTCTATTTGGAAGATAAAAGGAAGATGATGCAGGGAAGCCAAGAGCAGCATCCTGTCTCTGATGAGGCAAAACGTTGCAGGATTTTTTGAGCCAATAGTTGTGTTGAGTGCAATTTTCACCTGATGAGATCTTTCCCTTTAATTCTAAGGGACTTTGTAATGATCTGCCACCTTCTACTCCTAAGAAGGAATTGCTTTCTGATTGACTCTTTGTGTCAATGCTGTTTCTTTGACTACAACACAAATTATGCCTCTTATCTTCCTGCACGTTTCCCTTAGTCACGGTTAAATGATGGTCCTGGGAGTTGTGGACTGACTGGCTAGGCAAAGAAACTGGATTATCTTCCCATTTTTGCTTAGTATATACAGTCTGGCTTGGATTGAGATCTACAGGATCTGCTGTTGTGCCTGAAGAAGCAGGGGAGGAAGTCAGCCGAAACGACTGGGGCCAGAGATATGAAAGACCATCTGCAGAACATGATGGAGCCGCATCCACGTCATTAGAGCCATGGAAGCTGCTGAGCAAACTACTTGGTTGATCAAAGGCCACAAAGGGATCAGGCAGCCAGGCACCTCCAAGTCCCTGCTTGAAATGGGAAGACTGGCGTTGGTGGAGGTAATGGAGAACTGTATTGCCGATGAGTGTAGAGTTCAGCATAAACATCTGACAGGCAGTGAGAGCGTTGCGGTATCGGTCGGCTCGGGAGTCATTTTGCCAGGAGATGACGCTCTCTGTTTTGCTAAAATCCTACAAGAGAAAAGGGTGTCCTTTTACTTAGAAGGCATTTCAGCTCTGGCCCACAACATCTCACTTTTTTAAATAACTTCAGACAGATAAGAGTAGCTCTGAAGCACAGCTCTCAATTCTCTTCTTTATCCTCATCTCTGAAAGTCGCACAGATGGGCTCTGTGCACAGCTAGCAAAATGAGACAAGGAAGTAGAGATAACTAAGGAAATAAGTCAATGCGTGCCACTGAAATCTGGCCTCGCTTCATCCCATTATATCAACAGGTTGTATGTTGGGTAATTTCAAAAAGGGGGGGGGGGAAAGCATTTAAAAAGTAAAATAGCAAGAGCAGCAGCAGTTTTGTCAGAAATATTAAAAATTAACTAGGTAATTGAGTCAAGCACTGAAAGGGTTAAATGGATGCAATGACTCCACAAAAGGTGCAGTTCTATATAAGCAGATGTGCCTGTAGATTAATAGCCGCCATTCTGAGGTAAACCTCAGTAAGAGAAAGGTCTCAGTCTGTGAGAAGGCCTTTGTCTGTGAGAGAAGCCTCTGTGTGAGATAGGCATCACAGTGTGAGGCAGGCCTTTGTCTGTGAGAGAAGTCTGTGTGAGATAAGCCTCACAGTGTGAAGTAGAACTTAGTCTGTGAGAGAAGCCTCTATGTGAGGTAGGCCCCACAGTGTCAGATATGCCTTCATCTATGAGAAAGCCTTAGTCTGTGAGAGAAGCCTCTGTGTGAGATAAGCCTCACAGTGTGAGGCAGGCCTTAGTCTGTGAGACGCCTCTATGTGAGGTAGGCCCCACAGTGTGAGGTAGGTCTTTGTCTATGAAAAGGCCTTAATCTGTGGGAGAAGCCTCTGTGTGAGACAGGCCCCACAGTGTGAGGCAGTCCTTAGTCTCTGATCAAAGCCTCTATGTGAGGTAGGCCCCACAGTGTGAGGTAGACCTTTGTCTATGAGAAGACCTTAATCTGTGAGAAAAGCCTCTATGTGAGATAGGCCTCACAGTGTGAGATAGGCCTTAGTCTGTGAGAGAAGCCTCTGTGAGAGATAGGCCTCACAGTGAGGTAGGCCTTAGTCTGTGAGAGAAGCCTCTGTGTGAGGTAGACCTCTGTCTATGAGAAGGCAGAGTGTGAGAAGACCTGATGTGAGGTGTGTAAAACTGTGTATAAAGCTCTTATATGAAGCTCCTGTGTAATTTTGGTGTGAGAGGAGACTCTGTGAGAGCGAAGCTGTTTATCTGCATAAGAAAGAAGCCCAGCGTGGAAGCAACGAAGGAAGTATAAAGAACTTTATTTGTCTTATAGAAACCTTATTCTTGTAAATAGTGCAACCATATTACTTGACCAAAAAAGAAAAGCTTCCTACTGATAACATTGGCCTGTGTGTTTTGCTTCCTTTTATCACTTTGGGCTCCAGGTGTTTTGGAGTTGAACTCCCACCATTCCTAACAGCCAGTAGGCTGTTAGGAATGGCGGGAGTTGAACTCCAAAACACCTGGAGAGCCAAAATTTGCCCATGCCTGCATTACACCTTAAGAAACAATTTAGCATAATTAGAATACATTAAACAAGTGTACTATTTTGGAATTGAACATATTTGGGGACATCAGCAGGAGCCCAAAGGCTCTGATAACAAAAAAATATTTTAGTTTAGTGCAATCCAAACTAAAGCATGTTGCAGCAATCTACCCAGAGAAAAGACATTTGAAGATGAGAAGGGAAAAGAAGTTACCTTAATTCCAAAAACAAATTTCTTCCCAATGAAGCAGCTTTCAACAGCATGGAAGAGCACGTCTGGAGTTGCATCTCTGTCTGGCTCTCCGATTTCTTGGTGCAGTTTTTCAATGTACCTTGAACAAAAGCCATGGTGAGCGTTAGCTGACAGAATACTCTCCTGCCTTTCAAAGAAGCACAGATCATTTTTGTTGGGTGACACACTGGAATAAGTGGTAAAGTGATACAAGCAAAATGTTGCTTGTCGAGTTTTCTGCCTTTCTGTTGGTTTTATTTTAGCTGTCTTCTTTCTGAAGACGTCCAGAGAAGAAGATTACAACCACTTAGCTAGGCAATTGGTTCCACTGCCAAATTGCTCTTACTGTCTTATAACGGTCTTCCTGTAACTTCAAGGCATTAGATCTGGTCCTATCTTCTGGGGAAGCAAAGAAGAAACCTGCTCCCTTTTCCTGAGCCACCTGTCTCCCCTTTGGACTGATTTTATTATTCTATTATTATTATTATTATTATTATTATTATTATTATTATTATCTGAAACATAACAAGATTAGTACACAGCAAACAAGATCACTATGCTGATGTTGTATTGGATCACACGCCAGACACTTCCCAAGTGTCTAGGACTATGTGATGTATCGGTGAATAATGTGTGCAGATCTGAGTAGGGTGGCCTTTTGCAGCTGACAGATGGTAAGTTTGTCAGCGCCTATTGTGTTTAAGTGCAGGCCAAGGTCTTTAGGCACTGTACCCAGTGTGCCAATCACCACTGGTACCAACTTTACTGGCTTGTGCCAGAGTCTTTGCAGTTCGATCTTTAAATCCTCATGTCATGTCAGCTTTTCCAGTTGTTTCTCTTCAATCCTACTGATTATTATTATTACTATTATTATTACGCCTCTGTTTATAGTCCGTCTGCGTAATCTTCTTGCAGCAGCTGTCGTCTGGGATTGCAACATCGACAATCCATACTTTGTTTTTCAACACGATGGTGAGGTCAGGAGTATTGTGCTCCAAAACTCTTGTCAGTCTGAATTCGGAAGCCCCAGAGTAGCTTGACGTGTTCATTCTCTGTAACTTTTTCCAGCTTGTCATCCCACCAGTTCTTTGTCGCAGACAGATGGTATTTGTGGCACAAGTTTCAATGAAACATCTGAGCAATGGTGTTGTGCCTCTGCTTGTAGTCTGTCTTCGCAATCTTTATTTATTTATTTATTTATTCGACTTATATACCGCTACTCCCAATTTGGTTTGGAGCGGTTTGCAGAAACAGATTAACAATTAGCTTTAAAATGACCATAACAATGACAATAGGCAGCGAGAACAGGCATAGCCCGGATTGTTCACCCATCAAAAGCTTGCTGGAAAAGAAAAGTTTTACAGGCTTTCCGAAAAGCAAGTAGGTCTCGGATGGTTCGAGTTTCAACCGGCAAGGCATTCCATAAATAAGGGGCCACGATCGAAACGGCTCTATGCCTAGTAGATGACAAATGATAGGTCCGGATGTTAGGGACTGCAAGTAGATTTTGGTCTTCAGACTGGAGTAATCTCTGGGGTTGGTAGGGGGATAAACAGCCCCTTAGGTACGCCGGCCCCAGACCATATAAGGCCTTAAAGGTTAGTACCAGCAATCTTCTTGCAGCAGCTGAGGATGCGATCTATGGCTTCTTCTTTTCCTTCTCCTTCTCCTTCTTCTTCTGATCCTGTGAGGTGGTAGCCTCACAACCCCAAGTGTTCTTGGATGGAACCGATTATCTGGATCCATCTCAATCTGGTTTCAGGTGTAGCTATGGGACAAAAATGGCATTGGTCGCCTTGGTGGATGATCTACGAAGAGAGCTAGATAGAGGGAGTGTGTCCCTACTAATTCTCCTGGACCTCTTGACCATGGTATCCTTCTGGGCCATCTGTCTGGGATGGGGCTTGGGGGCACTGTTTTATAGTGGCTCTGGTCTTTTCTGGAGGGCTGGACCCAGATGGTGGAACTGGGGGACTCCTGTTTGACTCCCTGGTCTGTGGCGCCCCGCAGGGCTCAATTCTGTCCTCCATGTTGTTGAATATTTACATGAAACTGTTGGGAGAGATCATCCGGAGTTTTGGACTTTGGTGCCAATTTATGTGAATGACTCTATCACTGCTTTCCACCAAATGCCAAGGACGCCGTCCTGACCCTGAACCAGTGCCTGTCATCAGTGATGGACAGGATGAGAGCCAATAAATTGAAGGTAAATCCAGACAAAACAGAGGTACTCCCGGTCAGTCAGAAGGCGGATCAGGGTGTGGGATTACATGTGCTGGATGGGGTTGCACTCCCTCTGAAGACGCAGGTTCACAGTTTGGGGATGAATTATCTCGATTAATATATCTGAGCTTGGTATCCCAGCATCACGATGCTCTACCATTGTTTTTAGAGTTACACAAGGGTTGAATGAAAAGTAATGCCTCCACCTTTGTAACTCCTCAGCAGATGGCAGTACTGGTATGCAGCAGGTACTGTCTTGTTCAGTAGACTCTCCTCTACAGTTCCATTTTGGCGGGAAGTCTTAGCATTGAGTAGTTGTGTTGTTAAAGTGCAAAGTATGGAATCCTGTGCAGATAGTCAGTCAATGTGATTTAAGCAACGTGCAGTCATTGAATTGACAGAAGAAGGTGTCACCCCAAAGGAGATTCACCAGCGAATGCAAGCTGTTTGTGGCGATTGTGTTGATGTGAGTACTGTGTGTCGTTGGGCGAGTAAGTTAAAGATGTTGAGGTGACACCTTCTGCTGTCAAGTGGAGGCATTACTTTTCATTCAACCCTCATAATTAAATCACATATACCAGGGCTCATTTATTTCAGCAAAGCAACAAAAATCAAACCCCGGCAAAAGTAAACATGTCTCACCTCTGCAGGTCCTTGGCTGTGACTCCGAAGTAAACGTCTAAGCAGCTTCCGAATACTGTCACTTCGAACACACTCTGAGTGTCGGCGACTTCCAAAGAGAGTCGGTATCTGTAGTTTGCCTCCTTGCTGTCACCTGAACAGCCACATTTTAGGCAACTGTACCTGGGTGTTCAAAAAAGGAAGACATTAAGTGCTTAGACGTAACAGCCTAGCAGCAAGTCTTTTATGAAATAATTTGTCAGGTTAACAAACTTGCAGCACGAAGAATTCATATCACCTCCAGACATTTTGGTACTCCAAGTTCCAGCATCCTTTACCATTGGCTATGTTGTCAATGAATGATAAGCCAATGATTCCTTAAGACTTTTTTGGCTGCAGTTCCTGCTTGTTCATTCGTTCATTCGTTTCCGACTCATCGTGACTTCATGGACCAGCCCACGCCAGAGCTCCCTGTCGGTCGTGGCCACCCCCAGCTCCTTCAAGGTCAATCCAGTCACTTCAAGGATACCATCCATCCATCTTGCCCTTGGTCGGCCCCTCTTCCTTTTTCCTTCCATTTTCCCCTGCTATTCACTCTTAAAGGAGATACTATTTATTTATTATTTGCACCATTTCTACCCCGCCCTTCTCACCCCAAGGGGGGACTCAGGGCAGCTAACACAGGCAACAATTCAATGACGACAATATCTGTTGAAATTAACTTCACAATTCAGCAGCAGATCAGTTGCACGACTTGTCTGCTAAGCGCTTTCCAGTAGCTTCTTCCTGCACAGTATTTTCAGTCAACTGCTCCCACAGCCTGCAGCCACTCTGGAACCTTTTACAGAAACTTGAGCACATGCCTGGCCATTGTCAGTTTTACCATTGTCTTTCCCCCAGTCTAGATGATATTACAAACTTACTACAACATACAGTTATATCTTGTCTTAGCAGACAAGTTCTTTTAATCCATTACATAAAGCCTTCAACGAACATCACAGCACAAGGAGAAATATACACTGTATATGACTTCCTTATATACAATTCTATACAATTACACATAGCAATCTCTGATTGGTTCCCAACTCATTAACTTAACTCAGACCCAGGATTACATTATTCACAATCACCTGGACTAGGCCAAAACACATCCCCCAAAATGAAGTTTTATATACAGTTAATGCATGACTCAGCATTTCCAATAGACGCCTATTAGCAGTGCATGACTCAGCTATATTACATTACAATACATTGTAAAACCTGACAATATCAATAACAACAATATAAAATCCTAGTACATATCAAATAGAACAGTAATATTAATTAAAATCACATAATCACAAGTCATATAGCGGTTTCCAATTGTCATAACAATCCTATTGTCCGGGTTCAGTGTCTAAAGTGCTGCCAAAGGCTTGACTCCAAAACCACGACTTTAGTTTTTTCCTAAAAGAGAGTAGGGAGGATGCCGATCTAATCTCGCTGGGGAGCGAATTCCACAAGCGGGGGGTCACCACTGAGAAGGCCGTGTCCCTCGTCCCCACCAGACGTGTTTGAGACGCTGGTGGGACCGAGAGCAGGGCCTCTCCAGTAGATCTTAAATCACGAGAGAGATATATGTTTGGATAAGTAAGCTGGGCTGGAGCCGTGCAACGTGCTTCCAATCACATTTGGTTAAAGCGAATGTTTTCTTTTTGGAAAATAGCAATGCTCTGAATTGAACTCACCTCTTCAAATTCAGGAAGAGCTTGGAGAAGCAGTTTTGACACGAGGGATAAACAAAGTGGGAGTTCTGGATAGAAATTACGGAGGCAACCAGGAGACGCCTGCCATTCATATGCTCCAAGAATTAGCTAGGAAGACGGTTCAAATCTGACAACTCTGAATGGAAAACATTTGTTAATTCAGAAACAATCTAAGCTTAATCCATGATGGAGGTAGTCCAGATATGATTCTAGGAAAATCACAAAGTCTGAAGTCCACAAGAGATACAGTTGGTCTTCCGTTTTTGTGGGCGTTAGTGACACAGGACCCCTGCAAAAGAAGAGAAACTGTGGATGTTAAAAAGCCCACTTTTTATTTGAACAGTTCTCTAGGAATCTCTAGGTCCTTCAGCACGATTCTGTGTTCAAATTCTGCAATCGAATCAAACTGGAAGATGTATTGTTAAAGGCTTTCATGGCCAGAATCATTGGGTTGCTGTGAGTTTTCTGGGATGTATGGCCATTTTCCAGAAGCATTCTCTCCTGACATTTTGCCTACATCTATGGCAGACATCTTTACAGGTTCTGAGGTCAGTAAGTCCTTAAGAGAACGTCTATATAAATAAAAATGTAATGTTCATTTGTGGGATTAACATAACTCAAAAACCACTGGACGAATTGACACGAAATTTGGACAGCACCAACAGTCCAACGAGTGTCCATCACCCATAAAAAGAAATAGAAGAAGGAGAAGGAAGGAAGAAGGGAAGGAAGAAGAGGGAGAAGGAAGAGGAAGGAAGGAAGGAAGGAGGAAGAAGAAGGAAGGAGAGAAAGGAAAAGGGAAAGAAAAGGAAGAAGGAAAAGAGAGAGGAAGGAAGGAGAGAAGAAGGAGGAAGAGGAAGGAAGAAGGGAAAAGGGGAGAAGAGGAGAAGGAAGAAGGAAGAGAGGAAAGAAGGAAAAAGGGAGAGAAGGAAAGAGGGAAGGAAGGAGAGTAAGAGGAAGGAAGAGGAAAAGAAGGAAGGAAAGATGAAAGGAGAGAAGGAAGGAAGGAAGGAGAGAAGAGGAGAGAAAGGAAGGAAGAGAAAAAAGGAAGGAAGAAGAGAAAGAGGGAGGAGGAGAAGGAAGGAGAGAAAGGAGGAGAAAGAGGGAGGGACGGTTGGCCACAGCAATGTGCGGCGGGTACAGCTAGTAGTAAATAAAATCTGCAAATTATCAAAACCTACAAAGTCAGGCCCACAACAGGTGCAACTAAACCAATTAGGCCATCAGGCTTTTTATCAGGTACCTTGGGCTTCACTATGTACATACTTTGAAATGCCTCTTTTCTCTTCCTCATGAAGGGTCAACTGATGTGAGCCAACACATATTTTGAAAAAAAGGTCTAATCCATCATTTCCCAATATGTGGGGACAGAAGATCAGGCAGTCTGCTAGTAAATGAACTCATTGCTCAAACAAACAAATTAAAAAATGTCCTGCATTTTTGCATGATTCATTGTTCTTCACTTGCCGCTTTCCAGCCAGCATGACTGAGTGGCAGGCGGTTTGCTATTATATCTGCATTAGATGAGATGATCTCACTCGGTCACCACTACAGCAGCAATATATAACGGAATTAATTCCAGTTTGTTGTATCTTTTAAGGAGTTATTGTTTAGCACTTGCCACCTTCCAATCTGGCTGTTAAAACACAAGCGGTGTGTTATTTTGAGGGCCACAAGAATTAACAGCAAGGATGAAGTCCACTCACGATCCCGCAAGGTAGACTCCAGCAATACATGGAGAGAGAGTTGCCAGATGTACAAGTTGGGTTTAGAAAAGGCAGAGGAACAAGAGACTAAATTGCCAATATCCACTGGATAATGGAGGAAGGTAGGGACAAAACATCTATTTCTGTTTTACTGACTAGTCTAAAGCCTTTGACCGTGTGCTCCATGCAGTCATGCTGGCCACATGACCTTGGAGGCGTCTATGGACAACGCCGGCTCTTCGGCTTTGAAATGAAGATAAGCACCACCTCTCAGAGCTGGACATGACTAGACTTAATATCAGGGGATATTACCTTGACTGTGTGGATCATAATAAATTGTGGCAAGTTCTTAGTGGTATGAGGATACCAAACTACCTTGTCTCTCTCCTGAGGAATCTGTGTAACGACCAAGAAGCAACAGTGAGAATGGAAGAACAGACTGGTTCAAGATTGGGAAAGGAATATGGCAGGGCGTTTTTCTCACTTAACCTATTCAACTTGTATGTAGAACAAATCATGCGATGTGTGGGGCTTGATGAATCAAAGGCTGGAGTTAAAACTGCTCTAAAAACATTAACAACCTTAGATATGCAGATGATACCACCTTGATGGCTGAAAGCAAGGAGGAGCTGAGGACCCAAGATTATGGCAACCAGACTGATTGATAACGGGCAAATAGAGGGAGAAAACATGGAGGCAGTGACAGACTTTGTATTTCTAGGTGCAAAGATTAGTGCATATGGAGACTGCAGCCAGGAAATCAGGAGACGCTTACTTTTTGGGAAGAGAGCAATGACCAATCTCAATAAAATAGTGAAGAGTAGAGACATCACACTGGCAATGAAGATCTGCATAGTTAAAGTAATGGTATTCCCCATAGTAACCTACGGATGTGAGAGCTGGACCTTAGGGAAGGCTGAGCGAATAAAGATAGATGCTTTTGAACTGTGGTGTTGGAGGAAAGTTCTGAGAGTGCCTTGGACTGCGAGAAGATCCAACCAGTCCATCCTCCAGGAAATAAAGCCTGACTGCTCACTGGAGGGAAGGATACTAGAGACAAAGTTGAAGTACTTTGGCCACATCATGAGGAGACAGCAAAGCCTAGAGAAGACAATTATGCTGGGGAAAGTGGAAGGCAAAAGGAAGAGGGGCCAACCAAGGGCAAGATGGATAGATGGCATCCTTGAAGTGACTGGACTGACCTTGAAGGAGCTGGGGGTTGCCACGACCGACAGGGAGCTCAGGCATGGGCTGGTTCATGAGGTCACGAAGAGTGGGAAATGACTGAACGAATAAACAACAACAACATGTTCAGATGCATAAAGCCTTTATTTTATGATTTTGAAAAGCAAATATCAGAAGTTGGGAAAACATTGCAAAAACGTGCATTTGGGTGCCTGAAAAAAGGATTTGTCAAGGTCTCGGTAGGCTTTTTGCCAGATCAGATTGCCAGATTGGTAGAGAAAGGCAGTCGGGATTAGAAGGAAAATTCACGTAACAATCAAACACCCAGACACAACATTCTGCCTTAATATCTATTGTCTGAGGATTTCCATTGCCCTTCAGGGTCAAATAATTCAGCAATTGTGTTATATTGATTCCCCTGGCAAGTGCGAAAATAACATCCACTCTCCCCTCTTATGTATCTGGGATTTCCTGTGCCAAACAGCTCCAGAAGGAAAGCTAAGACGCTCATTAAAAGAAGCTCCTTTACGTTATTTTAGCTCATCTTGTTCCATACATTCTCTCCTCTGCCAGGAATGATATCAATCAGATCTAATTGGTTTCTTTCATGATTTCAATTACTTCGTCGAATGACTGATCTTTAATGACTCAAATCAGTTTAGATCTCTGCTTAGCAAGGAAACTCTACCACATTCCCAGGAAGCATATTCCACTACTGAACAATATTATTCTAGGTGGATTCTGACCAAAGCAGAAGAGAGTGGAACTATGACTTCCCTCTTATCTGGACCGTATTCTCCTATTGAGAGGAGACATGATGGCCATGTATAAATATGTGAGGGGAAGTCATAGGGAGGAGGGAGCCAGCTCGTTTTCTGCTGCCCTGGAGACTATGGCTTCGAACTACAGGAAAGGAGATTCCACCTGAACATGAGGAAGAACTTCCTGACTGTGAGAGCTGTTCAGCAGTGGAACCTTCTGCCCTGTAGTGTGGTGGAGGCTCCTTCTTTGGAGGCTTTTAAACAGAGGCTGGATGGCCATCTGTTGTGGGTGATTGTGCGTAATAATCAGGGTACTCTGGATGATGGGAGTGACAATGAGGTTCATGTGTCTAATGATGAAGTTGCTCTAGATCAGTGGTTCTCAACCTTCCTAATGCCACGACCCCTTAATACGCTTCCTTATGTTATGGTGACCCCCCAACCATAAAATTAGTTCCATTGCTACTTCATAACTGTCATTTTGCTGCTGTTGTGAATAGTAATGTAAATATCTGATATGCAGGATGCATTTTCATTCACTGGACCAAATTTGGCACAAATACCCAATACACCCAAATTTGAATACTAGTGGGATTGGGGGAAGGTATTGATTTTGTCCTGTGTGCAAGATGGATGGATGGCATCCTTGAAGTGACTGCACTGACCTTGAAGGAGCTGGGGGTGGTGACGGCCGACAGGGAGCTCTAGCGTGGCCTGGTCCATGAAGTCACGAAGAGTCGGAGACGACTGAACGAATGAACAACAACAACGATCAAAGCGCATTCTGAACTCCACCAACGATGGAATTGAATCAAACTTGGCACACAGAACTCCCATGACCAACAGAAAATACTGGAAGGGTTTGGTGAGCATTGACCTTGAGCTTGGGAGTTGTAGTTCACCTACATCAAGAGAGCACTGTGGACTCAAACAATGATGGATCTGGACCAATCTTGGCACGAATTCTCCATATGCCCAAATGTTAACACTGGTAGAGTTTGGGGAAAATAGACCTTGACATTTGGGAGTTGTAGTAGCTGGGATTTATAGTTCACCTACAATCAAAGAGCATTCTAAACCCTACCAACAATTTAATGGGGCCAAACTTCCCACACAGAACCTCCATGACCAACAGAAAATACTGTGTTTTCTGGTGGTCTTTGGTGAACCCTCTGATACCCCCTCATGACCCCTCCAGGGGTCCTGACCCCCAGGTTGAGAAACACTGCTCTAGATGCAGAGAATGACAATGTGGTTCATGTTCAAAGTGACTCTTCTGATAGGAATGTTCCTGAAGGGTTTGGGGATGATGATTTGTTACCTGGGCCTGAATTGCTGCCATAGGATTCCCAAGGCCTCGAGCCCGAGAAAGGCTTGGCGCCTGGTCCAGTTGCAGAAATTAATGAGCCAGTGAACAGGAGAAGTGTTTTCAGTCAGCAAAGAAAAACAAACCAGGCTCTCAGGCAC